TTCGAATTTTTTATTTTCTTGCAATATTTACAAACTTAAGTGAATTTTAATTTTTTTATAACGTGTGATATATTCATAGCTTGCAATGTGGTGTAACTTTTTAGTTATTTTGAATTCGTGATTCTCTTTTGAAATATATTTTTGTTTTTTTATTTAAATAAAACGAGTTCAATATATGGACAGCATTTTCTTAATACTATATAGTTATACATCTAATTGGTATTTTTTTTAGGTCAATTCGTTTTAAGATTACAAAATTTTAAGCATTATCAATCATTAAATTACAGGCTCTAGCTTTCCTCACGTATGAACCAAATAAGAATTAAGAAAAAATCATTGTTCTCAAACTGTAATGTACTTGCTAGTGTTTTAATTTTCTCATCTTATCTTAGTATTTAGTCTCCACTATCTTCAGTCATCTTGCTAAATTTCTTAGCGTCTTAAAGAGACTTTAGCTGGATTTTCTCCCTTACACAAATATTGTCAAGTATTAGCGTGTTGGGTATACATATCGAAAGGATCTAAATAAAAATATTTATTATATATATTACGAATAGAACCAAACCCCAACCAAACCGACGATTCGAGTTTGGGTTTGGTTTTAGTAATTATAAGGACTCGAATAATTTCATTTACTAAATACCCAAAATATAATGGAGGATTCCTGACCAACCCACTCGATGCCCAGACCTAGGTATTCAATTTGATTTGATCCGATTATCTTCAAAACCAGATTGAAATGGACCTTGCCCACCTTAGGGTCAAGCACTATCACATAAGAAAATACAATAGGAATAAAACATTTGTACCTATTCAAATTGACCAACAGCACATTTCCTTGCGTTTTTAAAAGCAAATCCTTCAACTAAAACGTGCACTTTTGACCACGGCAGCCAATATTGATGCTGACTGTAATATTTCCAAATCAAAATCTTTTATAACTACATAAACATGAAAACCCACAAATTTTCTTGAAAAATTAACAAAGAAAAACATTATGGGCAAATCTCAGTTTCTCCCTTTTATTCTCATGTTCTTCTATTTATTCATTCATTCTGCAAATTCTTCGTGCCCCATTGATTTCAATTATGTTGAAACCTTCCCATGGGACACGAGCCTTTGCCATGAGCCTGTTCAAACCAGTTGCTGCCAAACTCTTCGCAGCGTCTTTGGCATGGGACTTGCCCAATACCTCAAAGAAAGCTCAATGTTCTATCTCCCAACCGAGAACTCTTCGTCTTCTTGCATTGCCAACTTCCAAGAAAAGCTGTCTAATATATTCATGTCTCGGCCATTTTTCAGTTCATGCTTTAATGATACAAGTGAGTTTGTTAATGGGCCTTCAAATTGTGCTGGAATTACAACTACACAAGATTGGATCGAAAAGGTTGGATCATCAAGTCTGCTGGATTCATCTTGTAATGAAGACTTGACGGGATTGACTCGTTGTAGTTTGTGTTTAGATGCAGGAATGCAAGTGACTTCATTCCTAGTTTCATTAGATCGCAATTCCTCCAAATGCTTCTACTTCACTATTTTCTATGCTGCTGCTGTTGTCAATGATTTTGGGCCAGAAGATCCAAGGACTGCTGCTTGTGTACTAGGCCTGCCCTTGGCTCCCTCAATTAGTGACAAAAAATCGAACCACTGGAGCCCGAAAACTGTACTGAAACTGGTTTTCGGGTTGGTGGGGGCTGTTGTAGGAATTTTTGTTGTTTTTTTTGTATTCATGGTTTACAGAAAGTGGGATAAACAAAAGAAACAGGATGTAATGCATGAACAGTATGTGAGTTCTGTAAAGTCAAGGATTTTGCCCAAAACGTGCGCCAAATGGTTTCATATAACTGAGCTAGAACAAGCCACAAATGGATTCTCCCAAAGCAATATGATAGGACACGGTGGATATGGGATTGTATATAAAGGAACACTTTCAGATGGGACTGAAGTGGCCATCAAGCTTATTCTTGATTTGGATACAAAAGGGGACGACGAATTTATCAATGAAGCACAGATCATAAGCAAGATAAGACATAGAAACCTTCTTTCTCTTAGGGGTTTTTGTGTCACGAGCAGTCAATTCCAAGGCACAAGAAGATACTTAGTATATGATTTCATGTCAAATGGAAGCCTTGATGATCATTTATTCAAGGACAAGACTCAATTGTCCTGGCCTCAGCGCAAGAACATAATTCTTGAAGTGGCGAAAGGGCTTGCTTACTTGCATTATGGAATCAAACCAGCAATTTATCATCGTGATATAAAGGCTACAAACATACTTCTAGATGATGACATGAAAGCAAGAGTGGCAGATTTCGGATTGGCTAAGCAAAGTACAGAAGACCAGTCTCATCTAACCACAAGGGTAGCTGGAACATATGGATATTTGGCACCGGAATATGCTCTCTGTGGACAATTGACAGAGAAGAGTGACGCTTATAGCTTTGGCATAGTGATTTTAGAGATTATGAGCGGAAGAAGGGTGCTTGATGCAACAGAATCTTCAAGACTTCTAATAACGGATTGGGTGTGGGATTTTATGAAATCAGGAAAAATTGAAGAGATTTTCCACAAGTCGATAAGAAGAGAAGGACCAAAGGGAGTAATGGAGAGATTTGTTCGTGTTGGCATTCTCTGTGCTCATGTGATGGTAGCCCTTAGACCTACCGTTGCTGATGCTCTAAAGATGCTCGAGGGAGATATCGATATCCCACGATTACCTGACCGGCCATTGCCTCTCAGCCACGAGTCGTTTCGATCTGCAATACCAAACAATGCGACTTGGTCTTCATCACAGTACAGTGTATTCAACAGTTTGACATCGGGAGCAAAGTCAAGCATTAGCAGTAATGAAAATCAGATACAGCAGAAATTTTAAAGTGTAAGGATCTTGCAGTCAGAAAATGCAACTTGCCTAAAATAAACTGGTATTACCAAATCAAACTTTTTGACTCTTACTTTTTCTGATAATCTGTTGATTATAAGTAGCAATATATAACAAATAAGTGTTATTCCTAGTAAATTTGGGTTCAGCTAGATGTGTCTGTTCGCAAAATATTTCTTTCGATTTAAATTACCGCAAGTGTACGGGTCGTGACAAGTAATAAAGTGGACTTTAGAAGCCGAGTATCGTCCCACATAGAAAGAGTAGTTCAATTTTATTTATTTTAGCCTTAACCGAAACTAATTGACTTAAAATGAATTTTAGACTTAAAAGCCCTAATTTTGGGAGAAATCCCCAAATTGAAAAATCCTAATTTCAAATCAAATCCTAATTACTCAAATTCACTTAACGAATGACTCAATTACGAAATGTTATGAAAATAAATGAAATGTATTGTCAATTTATGAAAATCTATGTAAAACGAATGCACTAGGATCACGAATCCCCAAATAATTATTAAGTAAACCCTAATTTCTCAATTTTAATAATCCAATGAGAATTTGACAAATCAATGCTCCTAAATCTATTCAATACTCTCTCTCGAGATGTATTGAACCTATTCTCATAAATCACCAGCCTATATTTCTATGACGGATGCAATTATACAAGAACGCATGTAATTTTTTTTGTGAGCAATTAAAGATTTACATAGGGCATAAGAGTATATTTATATCCCCTATCGGACCCTATGATGAATTATATATGTCGAGTTTAATCCAATTTTCTCAAATTCAGAATTAAACCACCAAATTCACACAAATTAAGTGCACATTAATTGTGGAAATAAATAAATCAATATAATTCATTCAAATAATCCCATCGAACTATGAATTCAAAATTATGAAATAAAAGGTTTAATAATAATTACATGGTTCATCGATCACCTAGTTACAGAAATCTAGCCTATCATGATAAAAATAACGAAATCTATCAAGTTTTGAATAAAATACATCACCGAGTTATCAAAATTTGAAGAAATCTTATAAATCTTCGCATCAATCCTTATTCTTGCCTTCAAATCCTCTCCAAAATGAATGTTTTTGCCTCCCAATTCGTTGCTTGCGGCTTCTGGACGTTTATTTGCTATTTAAACCTGTCGAAATTAGGTTACCAAAAGAGTTGCAATCATATAAGGAAACTGTAAAAATCGGGCACAGGTTATACCTATGCGACCGCATAGGCATAACCTATGCGACCGCATAGATATATGAAATATGGCATTTTTAATCCTTGGAGGGTTACTCGCGACCGCATAGTAGAGTGAACTTCTAAATTGAGTCATTTTGATCCTCAAGTTTCATTCCTTCACTCCTTGACCTCCTCTCTTGTTTCTAGTTGCTCCAATGTTCCATTATAACTTCCAATTGGTGCTTAGCTTGATCAATTGCTTGATGTGTTTATTTGGATCAACTTTCAGATAATTGCAATTTGGTCCCTGAATTTTCATTTTGCTCCAATTTGGTCCTTTTTAGGCTCTTTTCTCCTGAATTCCACCATTTCCATAGAATCACCTATATTGCATGAATTCGACAAAATTAAGTAACAATTCAATCATTTTACTTGTATTTAAGTCATGTTTGTGATGTAAATAAGTGTGCAAAAACACACTTATCAGTGTCCTTACGGGCCAAAGTTTCCATTCGTCAGTTACCTCGAAGGTTGATATGGCCTTTATCAACTGAGTCTTAAGTCCTTGGTATTATCTATGAATCAACGTATTTTTTATGCCTATTTCTAGGTATTCACGAGTGAACCAACAGGAAGAATTCAATGGTTGCACGTTTGTACTTTTTTAAAGGAAAAAGGTTTTGGAAAGCTGGTCATCTAATTCACCGCATCAATCATCTTTCAAGGTATAAAATTCCTCATTGTTTAAATACGAATAATCGAGTTCGAGTTAATCCTTCTAAACAAGGTTATCTTTTATCAAACTGCAAAAGCTCGAACAAATGATCGATCAGTTCAAACGAGCAGCATTCAAGTCGAATTTTACAATGGTGTTCTCGAACGGGAACCAATATCGTTTAAATACAGAAATAATAATCAGTTCCTACTGCATTTGAACAAAGTAAACCTTTCAACATAAAACGCAATACATAATAATTTATATAAAAGTGGGTGCAGTGTTAGCAAAAGCAAAAAAGATCACGGAATTTAACAAATAAATCAAATATTCCAATGACGGCAAAAGAAAAAAGATCATTGAGAAATACGACTAAATCAAAACTAATTTTCATCATACCTTTAGAAATATAGTCCTAAGATTTGATTTTTCTACTTCCGTAGCATCGTTCTCCCAAATCAATCAAGAATAATCAATTAATAAAACCCATTTCGTCTAGTATGTATACCAAATCGAACTCCATTTACGGTATAGAATGTGCAGAGGTAGAGAGCTCGCTACCCACCTATGAAGAAAGCGTAAATTTGGAGCAAATGAAACAAAATGTTCATAATTCACCTTTTTTCTTGCCTTTTTTATTTTATTTTGTATATAAAAACTTATCTATTTCTAATTATAATAAATACAAATTTATTTTCTTTTCTATTTTTTTGTTTGGTTAGAGATATATATAAATTATTTTTCGTGTATGTATAAAACATTTATTTTAATCATGTGTATATAAAGTGTAGTGGAATAAAAACTATTGCGATGGTACTATATTTGCTTGACATGAAAAAAATATTTTATAGGAAAATATATAAATATTTATAAATTTATCGTCATAAATACTTAAAAAAATCAAAATAATCATATATGTTACCTTACGATGTTACATTGCGTTACACTTTTTATGTCATTTTATTATCTTCAAATTTAATTTCTATTACTTTTTCATCTAAAAAGTTTATTTTTTCGCTCTATCTTTTTCATATATTAATTTATAATCAGTATTTTTGTTTTTTACAATTAGTTCGAGCTTCTTGATATACTTTTAGCATGACATTTTTTCAATTTTTATTTTTTATGTAATATTTTTTACGAAAAAAATTTATATTTGTCTTCTCTTCTTAAAATTTGAGAGAGAGAGGAACATAGAAAAATAGAAACCAATAAAGTTACTATGAATTCTTGAAAATATATTAAGGGTGTGTTTGATACACCAAAATTTTTCATGGAAAATGAAATTTAAACAATATTTTCTAACTTTTAAAGTGTTTGATTGGTATATTTTTCCATGGAATTCAAGTTCTTTCTTTTCTTAAAATTTGAAAATTTCTTGGTTTTTAGGGAATTGGTTTTCCTGGTTATTGTAACATTTTTTTTCTTTTTTTTTTTGTTGACAAAGTTAACAAATTCTAAGAATTATTGTAAAAAAAATATTTTCCTTTAATTAGCAATTTTTATGTAAAACAAAGTCAAACGAATATCAAAAAATAGATAATTTTCTTGAATTTTTTTTTTTTGGCAATGAAAATAGATTTCACCCCCAATACAGTAAAATATATTCCTTTAATTGACAAATTTCATGTCAAAGAGAGCCAAATGAATACCAAAAAACAATTTTATTTCAACATTTTTCACATGGAAAATTATACCAATCAAACACAATAATTTACAATTCCCAAGAAAACAATTTCTAGGCAATTCAATTTCTTGGAATTCATTTTCAATTCAATTCAATTTCATCTTTACAATCAAACAGACCATAACAGTATAAAACTGTAACTTCAACTTAAAATGAATAATCAATTCATTTAAGCTGCAAAATTTCTTTTTAATTCATTGAACATAACTTATGATGACAACTTATAATTTCTATATGTCCATTATTAAATGTCAAAAAAAAAAATCAACGGAGGTTTTTGCTGTATTTTTCAATATATTATTAATATATATGTTGACACATAAAAATTCAGCTCAAATCGAACAGCCTAGAGAATAAAGCCCAATTGGAGGATCCCCAAATCAGATAGCCCAAAGAACGAAATCCAATTGAACGAATCAAGGTGAATGCCCAAATAAGGGGCCCAATAGTGCGGTAACGCCATCGTCCAAGTTTGCAAGTCGCTCAGAGTCTGAACGAATAGAGTGGCATACGGTCGTCCAAAGTCTCGCCCAAATCTTCAAGTCGCCCAAGGTATCAACAAACATAACGCATTATGATGCAGTTATTAAGGCAGTTGCTAAAGTAACTTTATCACGTTCCACGACTCAAGAGGTTCAATCGAAAGCGGTTGAACGACACAAGATAATGGCAGCAGTTAAAAGGACAGTTGCATGACAAAATGGCCACTATAAAGAAAGTGGGTAGTTATAGGGCGATCAAG